TGTAGTAGATAGTGAATAACACAGACACCCATAATAGTTAACAAGCAGAGAATAAGAGACCATGGAGAGTTCAGCTACAAATGGGACATCTACACTACACCTCTCCCTCCAGGTGTCATCACAGTAGAGCATATAGAAATAATGTAATAGATGGAGTAGACTTCTGTCACAAAACAGTATTTGCTGGACATGTCAGTGCCATTGCACACATGAACTCACAGTAGCAGAGCCTGCATGCACAAGACCGGCACAAGATCAAGCCAATCGAGAAACACTACCCCCAAGTTTTTCTTAATAATAGAACCATTTAGATAATTGCTTCGATTGATGGTTGCTGGGTGAAAGAGAGTCAGTTTTCTTCAGGGATGTGGGCTCTGAGAGGCCACCCATTCTCCAGTAGATTACTCTGTATACCCGTGCATTGCAGGCAGTACTACACAGACTCAGTGCAGTTATTTTTTTAAAAGATCACATAAAGTTAGGAGGAAAAAGTGGGGGTGATTAGAAGAGGACTTGGAAGAAGAGAAATGGGGTGTTGGTCAAAACTCATATGCATGTATGAGTTCTCATGCAATAAAAAGTAAAATGAAATTAAAAAAATAAACTCAAAAAAGTAAAAACTGCGGTTGGAATGCAAAATAAAATTAAAAAATAAATTTAAAAAAGTGAAAAAATTCACAAGTAGTACCATTCATGACCTCATTACAGTTGTCCTCAATTTTTGTTTTTTTCCAAAATAGATTAATAATGGTAAATTATTTGAACTTGGAAGGTGAGATATGAATCCTTATAGCTGAATAAATGAAAGAAAGATATTAATATTTGTTTTTCCTTGGCCCTCAGTTTACCATATAATCATTTAAACATTTTTTGAGACAGAGTCTCTCACATAATTCTGACTGTCCTGGAACTCACTGTGTAGACAAGGCTATCCTTGAAGTCACACAGATCTTCCTGATTGTGCTTCCTGAGTGCAGGGATTAGAGGCGTGCACTGTAATACCCAGCCCATTTAAGCATTTTTAACTGATATTCTTTGTTAGTCAATAAATATGCTGATTTCAATAGTCATGACATGTGTCTTACAGTTTTTTTCTAAAAAGGGTTTCTCTGTGTATTCCTGCCTGCCATGGAATTCGCTCTGAGACCAAGCTGACCTCAAACTCAGAGATCTGCCTGCTTCTGCCTCCAGAGTTCTGGGATTAAAAGTGAGCAACACCAACATCCAGCTAGTATCTTATAGTTTTAATTACATTTCCAAACTAGAAAACCTACATAAAGAAAAATACTTATGTAATATATTGTTATTCTTGTCAGGTATACAACAATATGATCCCAATTTATAGCACAAAGCATTAGAGCAAACGTTAGACTGTTCATTATGTCCAGGACTCTAGACATTCACTGCCATTTTACTATTATCATTGTTAATTGGGTGGTGGTATGCAGAGGCTAGAGGCTGTTGTCAGGTGTCTTCTATCACTTGCTTATTTTTTGAGACAGGGTCTTTCATTGAGCCTGGAGCTCACTGATTGGCCAGTCTGACTGAACAGCAAGTCCAAGGGACCTTCCTGTCACCATCACCCCCGCTTTCCAAGTACTGGCGTTATAGCCATGTACCCAGCTATTTTGTTTGTACATGGGTTCTGGGCACGGGTTCTTTTAAAAATATTTATTTTTATTTTATGTGTATAGCTGTATTGTCTGCTCATATGTGTACCAAGTGCATGCCTGGAACCCATGAAAGCCAGAGGAGGGTATCAGATCCCCTGAAATTGGAGTTATATGTGAGCTGCCATATGGGTGCTGGGAACTGAAATGAAGTCCTCTGCAAGAGCAGCAAGTGCTCTTAACTGCTGACCCATCTTTCAAGCCTTGGCAAATGTTCATACAGCAAGGACTCTACTGAGCCATCTCCCCTGCCTCAGCATCTGCACTTTCCAAACGTTAAAAAAAATAAATGAAACAAGACTTTCAAAACATATGAAAGAGAGTTGCCTTCCCATCACTGAATGAGTACCTCACTCTTAGGGGAAACCTACCTTTTCTAACACACATAAAACTAATATTTAAAAGAATATAATGTATATAGGGTACATATACCTACAACTTATAGAACAAGCATTTTATAATATAACACCTATTATTGGTTAATAGAGATTTAAAGGATGTTTCTCCATTGTACAAAGCTTGGTTCAGGATACCAAACACAAAATTTTTCTTTAAAAGTAATGGAAAGGGGGTTGGGGAGATAGCTCAGTTAATGAAGTGCTTGGTTTACAAGTAGGAGGACCTGAGTTTGGTCCCAATAAGCCTAGTTTTTTAAAAGCTGGCATGCTGGCAAGTGCTTGCAATCCTAGTACTGGAGAGGCAGAGACAGGAGATATCTGGGGCTTCCTGGCCAGACAACCTAGCCTACCTGGTGAGGTTCCGGCCAATGAGAGACCCTATCTCAATAATAAGGTGGATGGTGCCTGGAGAACAACACCTGAAGTTGTCCTTGACTTCCACAAGCATCTGCACACACACTGACACACACACACACACACACACACACACACACACACACACACACACACACACTCACAGGCAAACACACACACTAGAAAGGCATATTTCCATGAAGAAGTAAATGATATCAATATCTATGCCTGTATGTGTTGGGATAACCTTTTTGTACACTGCATGAAGACATGTCTGTTTAACATCATCTGCCTAAGGCACCTTCTGATTGGTTTAATAAAGAGCTGAACAGGCAAAAGCTAGGTGGGGGAGGGCACTTCTGGGGAAAGATAGGAACTCTGGGAAAGAATCAGAGGTGTCAGAGATTTGCCAGCTAGATGTGGAGGAAACTGAACCTTAGGTACTGAAGAGAGGTAACGAGCCACGTGGCAGAACATAGATTAGGTTAATTTAAGTTTTAAGAGCTAGTTGGTAACAAGCCTAAGCTAAGGCCAAGCTTTCATAATAAAAAGTCTGCATGTCATCTTTTGGGAGCTGGTGGTCCAAAAAAGATCAGTTACAATCTAAGATTCTCTTCTTTTCAAATGCATTAGCTCTGTAGCAAGTTTGAAGTCCCTACTGTTATCTGTTATATAATAGTTGATATGTTATCAGAATGAATACATGTATACCGTCTGTCCTTTAAATGTTTAAAAAATAAAAATCAAGTGTTCCTTAGTTTTAAGTGTGTTAATAAACCTTTCATGTGTTTGAAATAACAACTCACAATCCCACCACTAAATCTACTTTAATTTCTACCGTTTATTCCTAATTGAAGGGTAAGTTAGCAAAGGGCATATGAAAAGGTGCAGAAAATGAACTGAGTAGCTATTACCTTACATGACCCATGTGCCTGAGATTTGACACTCATAAACAAGAGTTTCTTTAAGGAAAGTTTATTGACCTAAAATAAGGTCATCCCTAAGAAATGAATTTTAAAATGTAAACCATTCTGACATCATCTAGACTTTCTTGAATACAATTCTGATACCCTTGAACAAATCAGACTTGAGTTGACACATGGGAGAGATGCAAACATTCTGAGAGATGTTGATTTTGATAAATGAATTGGCAGAAACCAGCAGATGCCTCTGTCATGACACATTTATACTGGTTGAAAATAGCAGCATATAACTCTTTGGAGACCTTAACTATGTCACAGAATAAAATGGAATTCTAAGGTTACCTTTCACTGATTTATTCTCCTAATGACGACACATATGCAATAATTACATAGGTTAGTTAACAGACTTTTCTAATTCTAGAAAAGTTGGTGATCTTATTATCAGTATAAATCTAATCTACACTTATTTTTCTTTTCTTTTCTTTCTTTCTTTACCTTTTTTGTTTTGAGAGATTTCATTGTGTAGCCTTGGCTATCCTGGAACTAGCTCTGTAGACCAGGTTAGCCTCCAACTCATGGAGATCTGCCTACCTCTACCTCCCAAATGCTGGGATTTAAGGAGTGCACCACCACCATCCAGCCTAATCTACATTTCTGGTAGGAATTGAGCAAAAGCTTTCCTTACTGTCTACTGAATTGTGGAAGTATTGTAATTTGTTATCTACATGTATACTAAAATCTAAAGCACATGCAATATTTTCTACTGTCTTAGTTACTGTTATATTGCTGTGAAGAGACACTATGACTAAGGCAACTCTTATAAAAGAAAACTTTTTTTTTTGAGTCAGGGTTTCTCTCTGTAGCCCTGGATATCCTGGAACTCACTCTGTAGAACAGTCTGGCCTTGAACTCACAGATTCAACTACCTCTGCCTCCCAAGTTCTGGGATTAAAGGCATGTGCTATCACTGCCCAGCTAAAAGAAAGCATTTAATTGGGGGTGGCTTGCTTACACTTTTAGAATTTTAGACCATGATCATCATGATTGAAAACACAGGTATAGTGCTAGAGCAGTAGCTGAGAGCTTTGTATCCTGACATCCTGATCCACAGGTAGAGAGGGGGGAGAGGGGGAGAGGAGAGAAAGGAGACTGGGCCTGGTGTGAGCTTTTGAAATCTCAAAGCCCACTCCCAGTGTCAAACCTACTCCAACAAAGCCACACCTCTTATTCCTTCCCAAATAGTTCCACTCCCTGTGACAAAGAACTCAAATATGTGAGCCTATGAGGGTCATTTTCATTCAAACCACCACCCCTACAAAATATGTCCACTAATGGTGTGTTGACAAATATCTCAAAAGGAACAGTAACATAACAATTTGAATTGATACAACAACTCTTCTAGTAACAGAATAGCTATCCTTAAACTAGCAACATTTTAAAGGAAAGTGATTTATTTTAAGGTAGGCCTACTGCCATCAGCTAGGTTTTCTAACATATCCACACACTGAGAAAAGATATTCAGTCCCAAATACAATTTGAAAATTATCCACTGCTGAACAAAATTGAGTTAAACTCCAATACACTATGTAACTACCTGATTTTGACTCTACCAGAAAAAATAAGTAAGAAAACAAATGAAGGAGACACTCTAGTTCTTAGTGAAAGAGGAAACCAACCTGAACAGCTCCGGGCTCTCCTTTGTTTGCCTGTATATTATCAGGTATCAGGAGCGGCTCACTCTTTTCACAGCTCTCTTCACTAATGAGCCTGTCAGCATAATTGGGCTGGGGGAAGATCAGGTGGCTTTTTTTGGAGTCTGTAGTGAGGGAGATTTCATGGGAATAGGTCTGCAGGTAAGCCTGTACTCCATCCATGCCCACAAAATGAGAGGTAGGCATGCTGGCCAATCTGCCTGCGGAAGTCTGAAGCAGGCGTGACGTGTGCCAGTGCCTAAGCCTGAGGGCCAACAGCACAGTAACAAATCCTAGAAAGACACAGGAGACCACTGCCACTGATATTACCAGGTACAGTGTGAGGTCTGAATCCTGGGGCTCAGAAGGAGAGTTGTTGCTGCCTAAGTCTGTCAGTACATCCGGGATGCTGTCCCCTACAGCAACAGTGAGTGTGACTGTGGCTGAGAGAGGGGGCTGGCCATGGTCCTGGACAGACACCACCAGGCTCTGCTTGAGAGCATCTCTATCTAATAGAGCCCTTGCTGTGCACACCTCACCTGTGTGAAGCCCAATTGAGAAGAGTCCTGGCTCACTGGCCTTGAGCAGACGGTAGGACAACCAGGAGTTCTGTCCGGAGTCTCTGTCCACTGCCACTACTTTGGTTACTAAATATCCAGGCTCTGCAGAGCGGGGTACGAGTTCCACACCAGTGGAACCATCAGTAGGAATAACTGGATATAGGATCTCAGGAATGTTGTCATTCTGGTCCAGCACGAACAAGCTCAGTGACACATTGCTACTGAGTGGAGGATTTCCGCTGTCCTTAGCTGTCACCAGTAGCTGCAGGTCTCTCAAGTGCTCGTAGTCAAAGGACTGCAATGCGTACAGGACACCAGTGTCAGAGTTAATGGAGACATAGGAGGACACAGGAGCTCCCTGAAATGTATATTCAGCCAGGGCATAAGTGACCCGAGCATTATCACCACTGTCAGCGTCATAGGCAATCACCGAAAAAATGGAGACACCTCTGGGGTTATTTTCTGAGATGGAAGTGGAATAAAAGGAGCGAGAGAAGGTGGGTGGGTTGTCATTTATGTCTTCTACTTTCAGAGAGATGTGGTTTTCTGTAGACAGGGGAGGAGTTCCATGGTCAGTAACGGTCACTGTGATGTTATAATCCGAAGTCTCTTCTCTATCCAGTGCTCTTGTTGTTAATAGGTGGTAGTAATTATCAACTGACTTCTCCAGTTTGAAGGGCAAGTCCCTGGGGATGGAACATGAAATCTCTCCATTCTCCCCAGAATCGGCATCATGTACGCTAAAGAGCGCAATTATGGTTCCCGGTAGGCAGTCTTCAGAAACGGAACTGGTGAGGGAGGTGAGTATCACTTCTGGGGCATTGTCATTGACGTCCTGGACTGTGACCAACACCTTAGCGCTGGCAAGAAGAGCGCCTCCGTCTTGGGCTACCACCTCCATGAGATAGAATCTGGATTCTTCATAGTCCAGGGATTGAATAGTTGTGATTTCCCCCAGATTAGAATCGAGTTGGAAAGTCTTGGAAATTTTGTCTTCCTCGTTGCGAAAAGAGAAGGTCAGTTTCGCGTTGATTCCTTCGTCGGCATCCGTGGCGGTGAGTGTGAGGATTCGAGCGCCCACAGGCGTGTTCTCTGGAACACTCACTCTGTATTCACTTTGGGTGAACAGGGGTGCATTATCGTTTGCGTCGAGGACGATCACGCTGATATGGACAGTGCTAGAATGTATTGGGTTTCCGCCGTCCAAGGCTGTGAGGATCAGGTCGTGAACAGACTCTTTCTCACGGTCCAGGGGCTGTTCCAACACCAGCTCTGGATGCTTTTGCCCGTCAGATCCGCTCTTCACATCCAGAGAGAAGAGTGGGTTGGAGCTGAGCTGGTAACTCTGGAGGGAATTCACACCCACATCCCCATCTCTCGCTAAGGGGAGCACCAACCGTGTTCCTGCAGCTGCGTTTTCGTTGACTTTTACTTTTAACTCCTCATCGCGGAACCGGGGGAAGTTATCATTAATATCAAGGATTTCCACTTCTACTCCATAAATTTTCATTTTGTTTTCAACCAAGATGTTAAAGCTGACGAGACAGGGCGCGCTCTGGGCGCACAGCTCCTCCCGGTCTATCCTGCCCGCGGTGACCAAGCTGCCGCCTCGCGGGCACAGGGAGAAAAGCTGCGACCTACCTCTGGAGACGATGCGGACCCCGCGCTCCGCCAGCTGGCGGGGCTCCAGACCCAGGTCCTTGGAGATGCTGCCCACGAAGGAACCTTTGTCTAGTTCCTCAGGAATAGAGTAGCGGATCTGCCCAGCTTCGGAACCCCACAAGCACCACAGGAGATTGAAAAGCAGGAGCAGCTCGCGCTAGTTCCTTATTTCTCTAAAGCCGAGGAGAGCGGAAGTTGGGATGGGTTGCTTTCCCCAGGAGCTTGTCTGGTCTCTGTTTAGTGCGGAGGAAGCTGGGAGCCAGTCGTTTCTATGGCCGCTTCTTTTCCAGTCTGGTGAACAGCGACACCCAGAGTCCTAACCAGTTACTACACCAATTCTATTTTTTTGCCTCCCCCAGTTCTGTTATTTTCGTTTTTTAGGTTTTTGCTGTGTATTTAATATATTATTGTGTAGCAGCGTTTATATTTAATTAAGTTTTAATTCTGACAGTAAGCCCTCCACAACCTGAGATCAATATAATTAGTTTTATTTTACTTCTCCAGAAAAGTTTGATTTTCTCTACCACTGAGTCCTTATGTCTTACCCACATCGAATCTACTTAACCAAGAAATTGAAATTCTTATCTTTTTTGATGTCAAGATTTCATTTTTATCAGGATAAGTTTACGAAGATCTGCCTAACAGTGCATTACTGTGCCAGGGAACAAACCCACCTCTCAATGTATCTTTGCAAATGGCCCACATCTGCTTTCATGGGCAGAAAAATAGATGGGGTACTCGTGAAGTTTTTGAGGAAGTTTTCAAATTTCCAACCTAAGGCTATAAGCAGTTTCACTGTCTCAGACAGTTGGGTTACCTGCATTATTTATGTCTTCTCATTACTATATTCAAAATACCTGTAGACATTTCACTGTGACAGGGTCTTGGTAGCAACCAGTATAGTGAGGGTGGGAGATGGGGCTTTGTTTATCTCACGGAGGAAATCATAGGTAATTAGTTAGCAGGAGCGAATGGTCTATTTGTTTTGAGGCAGATATTTAATGTCATCACTCTTGGAGAATAACAGATGAAAAGAGAAAGCATGGCAGAAAACAAGAGACAGTTCAAAAAGCCCCTACTGTGAGGAAACGACAAATTTTACCTAATAACTCATCAATTAAGGAAAGATTTTAATTGACATTTGTAGTTTTCTTTGTTTATCAAGGCAGGATTGATACCTATAATTTTACATTCTAGAGCTTGAGATATGGTTCAGTTGGTAGAGCAATGTTCAAATGGGACTCCTCATTTGAACCTTAGCACCATCAATAAGTAAATACACCAATAAGTAAGAAAATAATACAAATCATACCATTTTAGATATTTCTGTAGCAACTGACACACGCACAGGTTGCAACCTTTTCCTCAGTGTGTATTTTTTCTTAAGAGTAAGTTATTTATGAAGACATCTCACATTTATTATTAGAATTCACACTTCATAATAAATACTTCAGGCTTCATAATTTACCCATCCTGTAAAAAGAAAACTGGGGGTAGGTTGAAAGATGGCTTAGCAGTTAAGAACACTGGCTGCTCTTCCAGAGAACCTGGGTTCGATTCCCAGCCCCCACACGTTGGTTCACAACTATCTGAAACTCCAGTTCCTGAAGATTCAGTACCTTCTTCTAGCTCCCGGGGGTGGGGGGGTACCAGGCACACGGGTACACAGACATACATGCGGGAAAACACCCATACACATAAAACAAAAACAAAAATTAGAAAAACCTTCCAGGAACCCCAAGGCACTCTGCTTGTAGGACACTCACAATGTTTGTCAACAAGTAAGCTGAACAGTACCCTATGCACCATGCTTTGTTGATAACAAACCACCACCGTTGGTGATGTGTTTCTTTCATACTCAATTTTCATGGTCTAGTAAGATGAGGACCACGTTTACTCTGAATCACTATGAATGTAAGAGGAAGCAGAACCGAAATTTGAGTATTAGAGATCTGTCATGAAAAGAACCTTTTAAGTTTCTAGTAGTGATGAGCTTTGGGGGGTGGCGAAGAATGTAAAGGTGAAGAAAAAGAAGTACCCCAATGCTGTGAACACTTGTACCTATAGGCAAGTAAAAGCACACCCAAGGTAGAACTCCTCTGTAAGATGTGATTGGAAAAGGTTAACGCACTTAAGGCAGAACATTGTTTAAGGCTGACTCACAAGACAATGAAATATGCAACGAAACCACCAAAACCATTAATGATTTATTAACAAACACTGAAACTCTAAGTATAAAACGAATTAAATTGAAGCTCACCTTTGAGACAGAATCCGAGACAAAAGGAACCTCAGTGTCTCCTAGAGTATTTGGCATCCAAGAGGTGTCGTCACAGAGGAGGTCTTGAGGAGCCACTTCCGGAGTTACATTGAGAAAATTAAACTCTGTCTTAGCTGACTGTGAGGCAATGCATACATTGTAGGAATAAGGCAATGTTCCAGCATCTTAACTGGGGAGCAC